CCAGGTGTACTTGCTACCAGCTCATTCGGCGCTGATTCGTCGGGTGGCCGTCACACGCAGCTTTCGTGCTGCCACGCGTTTGGGGGACTGCCTTCCGCCTGCAAGACTTAGGGGCTGAGTAGGTAACCTTTAACTTTTTGAGGCTTATATAATATATACTACTATACTTCAAAAGGTTAACCTTTTTTGGGCTGGGGTACTCGGCCCCTGAGAAGACTATCCCTCCTTCAAAGGCCCGTACTGTCGGGAAAGCATCCACAGCCCTAAACTCGAAAGCCCAAGTTCTAAAATCGAGGCCCCGGAGCTTTTGACGTTTAGGATTTATTGGGGTTTAGGAGTCTGTATTTCGAGATTCAACCCTAAACCCTAGATCCCCAAACCCCTAAACCCTAAACCCCAAACCCTTCAAAGAGACATGCCTCACACCCAGGCTGCCTTCATCTTTTCCCAACCACCGGGGCCGTTGTCCTTTTCTGGCCAAGCGTGACGGCCACTGCGGCGTGCGAAGCTGAGATGCCATCAGGTCATCACTTAAGGATTTAGGGAATTTAGGTTTGTCGGGTATTTTCGGATTGGAATCAAAGTCTATTGTCCGCTGTTAGAGATTGCACAAGAAGCGTGTGCTTGGATCTGCCTTGCGTGCATGGACCGGATCAACCCTAAACTCTAAACCCGAAGCTCAAAAAGAGCGAAACAAGTTCCAGAAAAAAAAGAAAACTAAACTCCAGAAGGAAGCCGAGGCATGCAAGCATCTTTGATGTGTTGCCCTCCTAGTTCTATTTATCGCTCTTCCGGCGACGGTTTGAATTTTGAATGTTTGGGGCTTTTAGGGTTTATAGGTTTTTGGGTTTAGGGTTTATAAGGGCTTTTAGGGTTTATAGGGTGTTTAGGGTTTAGCGCTTAGCGCAACTTTAATTGTTTACGAAGGAAGAGGAAGAACCTTCTCTCTGATCACTACTCTTCGATCTTCGAACCTCAGGAACCTTTCTCTGTGCGCAATTGCAGGCCGTCTGGAAGTTGCGCAGCTCGTGCTGCAGGCAACATGGGCTTCACGGATTCGGGTTTAGGGGTTTAGGGTTTAGGGGTTTAGGGGTTTAGGGTTTAGGGTTTAGGGTCCATGCTTCGGTTGCACAGGGTGCTCGGGTTTGGGGCTTTCATGGTGTTGGAGTCTAGGGATTGAGGTTAAACCGTAAACCCTATGAGCCCTATAAAGCCTATATACAATAAACCCTATAAGCCCTATAAATCCTATAGGTCCTATAAACCCTAAACACCCTATAAACCGCAGAAGCATCCATAAGCCCCAAAAGCCCTAGACCCTGAACCCTATAAACCTTATAAGGCTTATAGACCCTATAAGCCCCAAACCCTACAAACCCTGCAAGCCTTATAAACCCTAAACCCCACATCCTATACACCCTATATGCCCTATAAACACAAAACCCCAAACCCTACAAACCCTATAAACCCTTACAAACCCTAAACCCTACAAGCCCGATAAACCCTATAAATCCTAAACCCTAGACCATAAACACCCAATAAACCCTATAAACCCTATAAACCCTATAAGCCCTATAAGCCCTTAAACACCCTATAAACCCTTATAAACGCTTATAAACCCTTACATACCCTATAAACCCAATCGGCCTGGGAAGTTCGTTTTCCGGGTTCGACAGGATTTCTCGTTACCTGCTCTGCGTGACAAACGGGGACTTGGTGTGGTTGGAATCTTGGGTTTGGGGTTTTTAGGGTTTAGGGTTTAGGGTTTAGGGCTTAGGGGCTTAGGGGTTAGGGGTTCGGGGGTTTAGGGTTTTTGGGGTTTAGGGTTTTAGGGGCTTTAGGGTTTAGGGCTTAGGGGTCTAGGGTTTTAGCGGTTTAGGGTTTGGGGGTTAGGGTTTTAGGGGGTTTAGGGTTTAGGGGTTTGCTGTTTAGGGCTTTAGGGTTTTAGGGATTTAGGGTTTGGGGTTTAGGGTTTAGAGTTTAGGGTTTTCGGGTTTAGGGTTTAGGGCTCAGGGTGTAGAGACCCCTGTGAACCAACGTGTCCACAATCAAACAGGACAGGAAACCCAAGTAAAGACCCTAATCCTCCCCAAAAAGAACTCCCTCAAGTGATTAGGCCCTTCATAGCTCCCCACACCCTGAAACCAGGGTTTATCCTTACAGCCCAACCCCAAGCGCCCAAGCCCTAACCCCAAACCCTTGAAACCCCAACACCCAATCGAATGAACACGGCTCGCAAGACATTGCGCTCAGCGGCTGCCGAGACCAACGTCTTTCACTATGGCGCCGTGCTGGCGGTCCCTTTGTTTCGTTTATTGTAGGGTTGGGTCCCTACCGCGGTCTTTGTCGGGGACGGTCTAGGGTTTAGGGTTTAGGGTTCAGGGGCAGAATAGGGGCTGGATTCCGTCATCCCAAATGTCACGGAGCGTTGATTGAGGGGTTCATGTTTCCGGGTGTAGGGTTTGGGGTATTGCCGTTGACACCGAATGATGCCAGCTGTGCTATCTGTGAACTAGTGATGCCACTGAGATTCCTGTCTCGTTTGGTGTACTTCTTCTTGCGATTTTTGATACGAGGAGGCTCGGTGTGATGACGGCGGCTACTGATACTTGCGCAGGCAAAACCTTGGTGGTGATTTTGGCAACGGCGATGATGCTGGCGGTGATGAGGCTGGTGGCGATGGTGGTGATGCCAATGGTGCTGATGATCTTGATGACGGTAGTGTCGATGGTAATCTCAGTACTAGGATGAAAACTGCGTCAGCAGCAGTGCTGGTAATGCTGACCGCAGTCATGCGTACACGACCGCTGACAGGGATTCTCTTTGGCAGGCGCAATAGCCGCAATGTTGTGACTCAGAACGATGATAAAGGAATTAACACAACAACGCCAAGATCTGTAATGCTGCACTGACTGTGAGGGTCGAGTGTCGCCCACGCATCAATACTAGCACCAGCTTTAGGGATAATTTTCCTCAAGCCTGAGCCCTAAAAGCGCCAAGCCGAAGAGACAAAGCTCAAAGCGTTCATGTTTATCTTCACCAGAAGTTGCTACATGTTAAGATTCAGGGTAAGGGATAGCGCAGCATCTCTCAAAGCAATGTGGCAATCGCAACAAGATTACCAAGATATCACCATTCGCAACGCACAGTTGGTGGCAGTGGCAATGCTCCGGTGTCCACAGGCTGCACACAGAAACATGAGTTGAAGGGGAGACGGTGATAATGGCATCAATGACAGTCGTATTAAGCAGGACATAAGCAGCATTCTTAGTTTTGTGGCTGGTATCCGCATTGTTATCAATGTTGGTGTTGAGGCTAGCCCTACTATGCGTACTGGCAGTAGTACATGCAGCAGTGAACATAGCAGTAAATGAAGTATTACCAGCCATAACAGCAATTGCTGCTGCAATAGAAGTGGAAACGATTGCGGAGGACCTGATTTCTCGTGTGAGACACGGCGAGGCATGTTGGCCTAAAGCATTATCATAAATATGGTTGGGTTACTATTACTACTATTATTTCCATTATTGCCATCATTACTATTACTAATATAATAATAATAATTATTATTATTACTATTATTATTATTATTACGATTATAGTTGCAGTCTTGAAGTTTGTGGAGGAAGCACTCGCAGACTGATATGCCGGATATACCTGCCCCTCTCGCCCTTCCTCGCCAGACCTATCCGTTTCCCTAGAACCTACACCCTAAACCCTCAACCCTAAACACTAAACCCTAGACCCTAGACCCTAAACCCTGAACCCTAAACCCTAAACCCTAAACCCCCAAAAGCCCTAAAACCCTTAAGCCCAAGACCCCCCAAACGCCAGCGCCAAGGCCTGCTCGAAGACTGGTGCATGGAAGCTGGCTATGGCCTTGCTACAGGCGGGTTTCGGGGTTTATAGGTTTGTGGTTTATAGGGTTTAGGGTTTAGGGTTTATAGAGTTTAGGGTTTAGGGGTTTATAGGGTTGAGGGTTTAGGGTTTAGGGTTTATAGGGTTTAGGGTTTAGGGTTTATAGGGTTCAGGGTTTAGGGTTTGGGGTTTGTAGGGTTTATAGGGTTTAGGGTTTAGGGTTTGGGGTTGTAGGATTTATAGGGTTTAGAGTTTAGGGTTTATAGGGTTTATAGGGTTTATAGGGTTTATAGGGTTTATAGGGTTTGTAGGGTTTATAGGGTTTATAGGGTTTAGGGTTGCGCCTCACAGAAAGCCAAGATGGCTTATGTACTTCTAGGGCTGCCGGGGTTGTAGACTTTTTTTGGGGGGGCTTTTGGGCTTTCGGGTATTCGGGCTATGAGGGTTTTAGAGCCCAAAGGTTTCCATCGGCTGGGGTTTTAGGTGTGTCGGAGTTTAGGCTTAGGTTTGCTTGGAGGTTCATGGGTAGCAATAAGTATGGCTATAAGTCCCCTAATGTGGGTTGTAACTATAGTTACCTTACTTATATAAACCCACTTATAGCTACACATGAACCTCCAAGTAGGGTGAAGGGTTCGAGGGTCTGGGGGTATGGTTTCGGCGAGGGCTTCCAGCCGGTCGTCGAGGGCATTTTAGTTTCGGGTCGTTGGCTGGCGTTTCCAACCTAAACCCTAAACCCTAAACCCCAAGCCCTAAACCGTTCATTTCGATGGAGATTGACAGGTGTCTGGGCTGGCAGAGCTCTCGTGTGATGCTTGTATGGCTCAAGGCCCCACTTGTGCCGGTAGGTTTTTAAGGCCTCGGTTTAGGGTTTAGGCACGGTTTAGGGTTCACGGTTTAGGGTTTAGGGTGCAGAGTGCTACCTCAACTGAAGCCTGCATGGAAAGCCGCAGCCACATAAAACGCGCCCTAAACCCCGAGCCCTAAATTTCATCAAACGAAACCCACTCCCTAAGCTCTAAGCCCTCAACCCTGAGAGGAATCCGCAAGCCGAAAAAGCTTTAGCGTTTAGGGTTTAGGGTTTTAGAGCCCGTGTACCATCCCCTAGGACCCGGTTTAGCGTTTAGGGTTTAGGGTTTAAGATGCATCAGTTCTTGGAGTTGGACAAGATGGTCCAGTTGACGATTCTTGCGTACCTTGAGCTGGGCGAGCTGCTGATCTCGACTTGCAGCAGTCGGCAGCAACGCCAGCGTCTGCAAGATGTTCGTCAGCTGAAAATCACGGCACCGTCCCACTGCAACGTGAAACTGCTGGGTCTTTTCCCCTCGGTCAGAACAGTCCGTGCACTGGTTGTCAGGGGCAATCCACGTGGTGAAGGTCATCACCCAGAACCTGAGATCGCTGGACGGCTGCCTTTTGCGCTGACGGCGCTGCCCAAGCTGAGCCAATTGCTTCTGTCTGACGATGATTCGTGGTGGCATGGCCAGGAAAGCCCCGACTTCGTCTGGGATGTCATCGTTGATCTTACGAAGAGCCTTGCATGTGCACGCCAAAGCATGCTGCTGCAGGGCCTGGAGTGGATCGAGCTTTGCTGCCATTCTTGTCCCCAAAGTGTGCTCAATAGGCAGACTGATCGGCTACCAGCAGGTTGCAGCTGCCGTGAGATCGCCCGGGGTTTTCCAGTTGCTACTGTGATCCACTTGGTGGCAAATGGTGACCTGTGTCTGGGTCGACTGGAACTACTGAACATTGCTTTGTCCCGCGGCGTTGATTTAAACAGTTCTTTCCCAGGTAATCCAGACATCACCTTATTCCACCATGTCCTCACGGAAATGACTCCCCACGACGGCTATCCAGACAAAGAGTTCGGCGAGGATACTGACAGGATGTGTTGTGCTATCATCGAGCGCATGGTGCGGGCTGGGCATGCGCGTCCGGACCAGAAACTGCTGGCAGATATGGCTTCTGGAAAATTTTTGGAGGACCTTTTAGATCCGTGGACAGAGGCCTCCTTGCCTCAGTGCTTGGACTACTTTCATGACTATGCCGCAAGCCTACGCGCGTGGCTCACTTCAGGTCAGCAGGAACCCTTCAGATGGAGATACCCAAGACAAGTGTAACCTCGAAGCACAGAAGCCCTAAACTGGAAGCCGTCCTTGGAACGACCTTGTGCGGCCTCGGAATGAAAAGAGCGTGCGGAGGGGTCAGGGTTTGCTGAAACCTGCCGAAGACCCAAAACTTTGAGAACTGGAAACCCCGTACCCCAAGCTTCAAAAACCATTAGACCAACACAAAACTTCAACCCTTGAGCCCTTTGCACCCGAAGCCCCCCCAGGTTTCTATTGTGAGAAATCAGGTGTGGCCTGATACCCTAAATCCTAAACCTGAACCCTAAACCCTAAACCGTGAACCCTAAACCCTAAACCCTAAACCCAAAACCCAAAACCCTAAACCCTAAACCCTAAGTCCTAACCCCTAAACCCTGAAAAATAAACTCTAAACCCTAACCCCTAGCCTCCAAGGCTTGAACCCGAAACCATCCAACCTTGAACTTATCGGCATGTGCCCTACCGCGCGCATGCGCAGAGAGGCTTAGGGGTCCCCCTTTAGGGTTTAGGGTTTGTTTAGGGTTTAGGGTTTACGGTTTGTTTAGGGTTTAGAGTTTTTTTCGGGTTTAGGGTGTTGGGTTTGTTTAGGGTTTAGGGTTTGTTTAGGGTTTAGGGTTTTGGATTTCAATCCTTCCTCGAAGTTGCGTTCTCTTCGGCCTGGAAGTTTCCATTCAGTCCCACCGGCTTGCCGTAGTAAGAAAGGGGGTCTTAAGAATCAGTCACATGGTCCCCTTAGGGTCCCCGAAGATGATAGCAACATGTGCCGAAAGCCCTATTCCCCTGTAGTTGCTGCCAGGGCATCGGGCTCTGGGCTTTGCATTTCTTGGGGTATCTAAGGGGTTTGTTAGATGGTGGATGACGTTAAGATTTCGAAGTGTAGGTTCAGCATTGAGGTAAGTTTGAAGGTTCATGCGTGAAAAGTAGCCTTATAGGTATCTTGATACAATCTGTTATAAGGCTATACCTCAAGCGAGTCTACTGACAACCTTAAACGCTAAACCCTACCCCCAGACCCTCAACCCTAAGCCCTAAACCCTAAACTTGTAAACCCAGAGCTTTTTTGGGAGACAGCTTTTGGGAAGACCGCGACTTCTGATCAGACTCGGAGGATGAGTTTCTTGACGAGGAGGGGTTGCTTTCCCCAATGCCGCTCGGGTTTAGGGTTTTCGGCCGCAGGGGATCCCCCACCCCCCCGGGTTCGTAGAAATTTTTTAAAGGGTGTAGGCTGTGGGGTTTGGGGTTTAGGGTTTGGGGTTTGGGGTTTTGGGTTTGGGGTTTGGGGTTTGGGGTTTAGGGTCACCCCAAGCCAAAGAGCCTGAATCCTAGACCCGAATCTAGGAGCCATTCAGCCGAATCCGTAAACTCCCCAAATTTGGAGGGGTGTTTCTAACCACATAGATCTCCCATAGTAGGATCCATTAGGGGTTTAGGGTTCAGGGTTTAAGGTCCAGTTTACACCAGTAAGGCTTATGATGTTGTAAATGCCAAAGTCCTCCAGGCCTGAAATCTTAAAAAGCTTGATTAAACACCCAGTTTTCCTTTGCAGTGGTCCCATTCCCTAGACCCCAAACCGTTTTGCCAGGAGATGGACGCCCAGAACGTCCAGGGCGGCGCCATCTGCTGCAACGCTGCCATCAGTGCGTGCGACTCTAGGTTGGAAATCAAGGGTTTTTGGGGCTTGGGGGGCTTTGACCCAGAGACTTCTACAACCCTCCATCACGGAATCTACCGGAAATTGTAGGGCTATAGGGGGATCCTCAGTATAACTGGGAACCCTAAACCCTAAACCCGAAACCTTTCACTGGTTTGGAGGGGTG